CTAACCTTGAGTTGAGAGAAGAAACAACCAAAAAATGAACTAGATGAAGACTGAACTGAGGACAACTGAATACCAAGTTGTCACTGCATTACATAAATTTGGACAAGATAAAAAGGCTACGACAGATATTCGCAACGGAAAGACAGAACGGTAGGCTTGAAGTCGGCTAATATAGACCAATTTTTAAATCGGCTTGGGTTCCTCACAAGCAACACCGTAGTCTAATCCAGCATAACTAACTAAAATAAAATAAATTCAACTAAAACAAATAAGGGTAGATAATAAACTTAAATTGAACTTTACTTAATGTAACTTACCAAAGTAAACTTTTGTTAACAAAACTAATTAACTCGATCAAATTAAAGTAACTAACCTTAACTTAAAGCTAAATAAAAACTAACAACATTGAATAATCAACATATAACCTGATAACTAAAGTAAATCAAATCATAAACTAAAACGAAAAAGGTGTTTAGTTATGCATAGTTAATTATGCTGTTACTTATAAGGAATCATTACTATTTAAGCAGGGGTAAAAGGCGTAATGGGAAATGACTTTGAAGACCTTATTTATAACGATATACGACCAATGGTCAAGTTTCGGGTACATAAAACAAATATGTAACTTTAAATTAGGGAGTACCACTCTTTCTCCCTCCTCCACTTGGTTCCCGTAGCAAGAAAAAGTCAGTACGACCGTAGGTGGATTGGCATGCAATAGTCGAAAAAAAATGCAACCAATCTACGAATGCAAGTGGGTGTGCGAGTACCAGGAAATAAATAAGAAGAAAAGGTGACCGCTCAGACAGGACTTTTATTCGCCTGACGTTTCAAAATATCTCGTGGTCCTTCATCAGAGATATAGCAGAAACGGGTTGTTCATGCACAGGTATTAGGAGGTTTTAAGGGGCTATAGTCAAGATGCTACCGCACACTTATGACATAGAACGGAGAAATGACTTCAACCCTCAAGTTGGGGCCCATTCGACGAGACCCGCCCACATTTAACATTTAATGCGGCTCAAATTCTCGCTGAAGGTGACGATCCTGTGAGTCGCAAGATCCTTAAGTCATGCATCACAGGCCCACAGTCTATTAACGAGTGCAAATAACTGCTAAGTCTATATTCGGGGCTGAGATTCCATTGGCCAAAGCAAGTCAGAATTTGGGGGACGCACAAGACAATTCGTCGTCCGATGCTGGCGTCAGGCAGCTAGAGGGGCAAACAAACTTCATGTTCAATTCGTGTGCGGACGGATCTGATCTCTTGTTCGCATAGCATTAACAAAGCAAACGGGTTAAAAAGGACTTCA